AAAAAAAAAATCTAAACAAAAATAAATTCAGCCCCTCAACGAAAGGTAATAACCGAACAAAAATCAAACAAAGGACTAAGAAGATGACACTTTTTTTTAAGACACGAAAAATAAAAGGGAAAATTCGAACCAAAATTCGAACCCCAACAAAAAAAAAGAGAAATTCGGCCCCTCAACAAAAGGCAAACCGAAAAAAAAGAAAAAGATATGATAGATAATCACACGATCAGCACCTCTCAATGAAAGCACCAATGATGACGGATCGTGTTGTTATCTATACGGTTGTGAACAAACAGCGCACTCAGGGCCTTCGTTTATCCACGATAGGTGTATCTAACAGACGCACTATGGCCTTCTCCAAGATACCGTGACTTCAAGACGCTCTAACGGCCTTCTCTCCGACACTGTATGTAAACACGCACTAATGGCCTTGTTTAAACACACGTTAAGAACATCAGTTCCCCCTCAAGATTGGCTCACCAATTCAATACTTCATTCAACTTGTAAAATATGATGAGGTACATGCGGTATTTATAGTTGCAAAATAAATCTAAGCCTAACTCTACTAGATCTCCTAAATCCTGCAAGAATAGAAATCCTAACACTAGAAAGCAATAAAATCCTAGGACCTTAGGACTTGTGCGCCCCTATCGCCGCCCGTCTGCTTTGCCTAATCCTCGCTGCCTTAGGACTTGCGCGCCCCTATCGCACGCGCACGTGATACGGAAGTGGTCATCAACCCCGGTGAGTCCGACAATGATGATGGCAGTGATCTCGTTTTATGGTTGGAAAACATGTTGGAAGAGCCATCTAGTCCTATTCACCGGCCATCATGTGTAAGGGATTGGCCAAAGGGATGTGGTCCAAAGGCTGGTTTGAAGCCTAAGAGATGCAAGACAAAAAGGGTTCGAAGGAAAGGCAAGGCAAAAGCTAAAGAAGAGAAGTGTTGGTGCAAGCCTTGTTCAAAGAAGAGACGAGTTCACAAGATGGTGGCTCGAAGGGGTGGTAAGAGTAGAAGGGAGGATGGTTGGATTTGGAGAGTTGGTGATTGCATTGGGATGGATGGATGGGATCCATGGCCAACAGGGCCGGACGGCAGAAGGGTCGAGGAGGATCGGCTATCGGGCGTGGGGCGCGCATCGGGGCGTGATGCGCGCGAACACACGAGGGGTCGAATGGGCGCAAGGGTGAACGACGTCGACGCGAGCAACACACGATGG